TGTATGGGGTAGTACATATTATGGTAAATTAAAAAATATTGTATGGGGTAGTACATATTATGGTAAATTAAAAAATATTGTATGGGGTAGTACATATTATGGTAAATTAAAAAATATTGTATGGGGTAGTACATATTATGGTAAATTAAAAAATATTGTATGGGGTAGTACATATTATGGTAAATTAAAAAATATTGTATGGGGTAGTACATATTATGGTAAATTAAAAAATATTGTATGGGGTAGTACATATTATGGTAAATTAAAAAATATTGTATGGGGTAGTACATATTATGGTAAATTAAAAAATATTGTATGGGGTAGTACATATTATGGTAAATTAAAAAATATTGTATGGGGTAGTACATATTATGGTAAATTAAAAAATATTGTATGGGGTAGTACATATTATGGTAAATTAAAAAAGATTGTATGGGGTAGTACATATTATGGTAAATTAAAAAAGATTGTATGGGGTAGTACATATTATGGTAAATTAAAAAATATTGTATGGGGTAGTACATATTATGGTAAATTAAAAAATATTGTATGGGGTAGTACATATTATGGTAAATTAAAAAAGATTGTATGGGGTAGTACATATTATGGTAAATTAAAAAATATTGTATGGGGTAGTACATATTATGGTAAATTAAAAAATATTGTATGGGGTAGTACATATTATGGTAAATTAAAAAATATTGTATGGGGTAGTACATATTATGGTAAATTAAAAAATATTGTATGGGGTAGTACATATTATGGTAAATTAAAAAATATTGTATGGGGTAGTACATATTATGGTAAATTAAAAAAGATTGTATGGGGTAGTACATATTATGGTAAATTAAAAAATATTGTATGGGGTAGTACATATTATGGTAAATTAAAAAAGATTGTATGGGGTAGTACATATTATGGTAAATTAAAAAAGATTGTATGGGGTAGTACATATTATGGTAAATTAAAAAAGATTGTATGGGGTAGTACATATTATGGTAAATTAAAAAATATTGTATGGGGTAGTACATATTATGGTAAATTAAAAAATATTGTATGGGGTAGTACATATTATGGTAAATTAAAAAATATTGTATGGGGTAGTACATATTATGGTAAATTAAAAAAGATTGTATGGGGTAGTACATATTATGGTAAATTAAAAAATATTGTATGGGGTAGTACATATTATGGTAAATTAAAAAATATTGTATGGGGTAGTACATATTATGGTAAATTAAAAAATATTGTATGGGGTAGTACATATTATGGTAAATTAAAAAATATTGTATGGGGTAGTACATATTATGGTAAATTAAAAAAGATTGTATGGGGTAGTACATATTATGGTAAATTAAAAAATATTGTATGGGGTAGTACATATTATGGTAAATTAAAAAATATTGTATGGGGTAGTACATATTATGGTAAATTAAAAAATATTGTATGGGGTAGTACATATTATGGTAAATTAAAAAATATTTATAGTAAACAAAAACATAAAAGATTTTTTTTTTCCTGCTCTTTATCACATTTAAATTTTTATACAAAAATATAAAAAGTAAAGTTTTTTTTGTTATCTATATTTTTGTTTTTGCTTGTTTTAATGAAATTTTGTTTAAATTTTGTTTTATTTTTTTACATTTTAATTTTTTTTTAAATAAAATTCTATAGTATTTTTTTATTCTAAAATAAAACATAAATATCCTATAAATTTCTCTTGCATTTTTCTAAACAAATTTGTTGTTTATTGATTAAGAGAATACTTTTTTCCAGAAACACTTTGAAGTTAAAATAATAAATTTAAATGATAATCATTCTTATTTAACTATTTCGCTTATGAACTATTTATCTAATATTTTATGATATTTTTTGAAATTTAGTGACTTCTTTCTTTTATAATTGACCCATTGCCCTTCCATCTCATATACGCCATTTGCAGACCCCCTCTTCCCCTCCTAGAGTACGTACTTTATGGACAATCTCTTACAGATTAACTTATAATTTTTCTTTGGACTTTGCGAGACTTATACTTTCAAAGTACTGTGTTGCAACTTGCCCTGTTCACTGTTGCAATTTGCCCCGGTCCGTAGTAAGTTGCAACATTTTATTTTAACGCTGCTTCAACGTTGGTGTGCCCAGTTGGAAGTTGTATTATTTTGATCATAGTGTAAAACTTTCTGTTTTTCAAATACACTTTTAATCAAAGTAAATTGTTACATTTTACTGTAAAGTTTTCAATTTTTTTATTAGCATATTGTGATTTACGGTAGCAAAAATATTTGATATATCAATGAAAACTCCTAATGTAAAACAGTCATTATAAAAGGCGTTAGATATGTATATTTGAAAGTTCAACTATTGAGTGTTCAGTGAAATTTTTTTTAAAGCTGAAATGTTTGCAATACAACTTGTTGTTCTCTCTAATTGCTATTCTCTCTAGCAATTTTGAAAAAAAGGCCGAACACCCCTGTAGTTTAAAATATTTGACTTATCTGAAGATACAAAAGTAGTGTTTTACGGAATTTTTGTTTGTCGGGAGCAACCTGACTTAAATAAATGATCGAAAATGTGAAATAAAGTAGTTTCAATAAGATCAAATACTGATTTGATAAAATCGTATTTGATCTTATTCGACAAAATAGGTTTTCATAAGATTTTAAATTTTAATTAAAATGGAGAGGAATTAGAAAGAATTTTTGCAGCCAAATTTGGACCAATATTTCATTACTTTTTGGTCGTCCTAATAAACATCAACTTTTGCAAACAAAGTTTAGTTTTTCAACTAAAGTCGATTTATGATAAACTAATTTTCTATTAGTTAAAAGGCTTTTTGGCAGAGTGCTTTTTTTATATATTCTTTTTCAAATTAAATCCTTATTTCCATTTTACATATTTTTGGTGTTTCCGTCGGGTTTTCTGACTGACTGAGCATAATAAAGCTTATAACAATATTAAAGCAATGACAAAGCAATAACATCTGAGCATAATAAATCTTTTAATTTTTTACAATATATTTTTTAATGATTTTTATTATTTGTTTGACTTTTGTAAAAATTTTTTAAAGATTGTTTCATAGATCTGTCGCCAAAATATTTTGTGACAGTATTACTAATTAAAATAGTATTGGTAGCTAAGAATGTGAAAAAATGATCCGACAAATCAGTCTGAATTATACTAGTGTAAAAAGGATTGTTATGAAGTTTGTTAGTAAAGTTATCAAGAAGAGTGAATTACTTATTTTTAACACTAGTTGGTTTATTGTTTAGTTATTTTGTAGAATTATCAAAAGTAAAGTTATTTTGATATTTATAAAACTCTCAGCATAATAAAAACATGACCAACTAGACTTCAAATAATAATAATTGAACTCTCAGCATAATAAAAACATGACCAACTAGACTTCAAATAATAATAATTGAACTCTCAGCATAATAAAAACATGACCAACTAGACTTCAAATAATAATAATTGAACTCTCAGCATAATAAAAACATGAACAACTAGACTTCAAATAATAATAATTGAACTCTCAGCATAATAAAAACATGACCAACTAGACTTCAAATAATAATAATTGAACTCTCAGCATAATAAAAACATGACCAACTAGACTTCAAATAATAATAATTGAACTCTCAGCATAATAAAAACATGACCAACTAGACTTCAAATAATAATAATTGAACTCTTCAAATAATAATTGAGATTAAGTTGATCAAGTTGATATAACCCCCTCCCCCCCGACCAAATTTAATGCATAATGATTCACAACCTATTTCATAAACACAGAGGTTGTTACGTAAAATACAATTTATTAAAATGTAGAGAAAAATAATAGCGACTCCATCTGCATTAAATTCAAAGTTTTTCCGAAACTTTTGTTTTATACTTATAAAAATAGACACTATTGCTAATTCAATTTTTATAGTGTTAAATCTTCATAAATGAAGCGAAATGAATAAAAACCTTTTTGTTCGTGTTTAGATTCAAAAACTATATGCTGTAGAATATTTATGAGACCTTCTCCGTATTATAGATTAAAAATATTTAAAAAAAAAACAATTATTACACAACTATTGAGTACCAAAAACGTTGTTAAAACAATCTGAATCTAAAAATTGTGGAGAGCCAAATTTGTGGAACTCATTTTTTTCAAAACAATAGTAAAACTATAAGTTAAATCAAACTATAAACCATGGTTTTAAAATTATTATTAAATATTTAAAACATACTTTGGCGAGATGCCAAAACTTCTACAATTATATATATATATCAGCATGTTTAGATCAAGTTTTCTCAAAATCTTTTAAGTAAATTGTTTTAAGCAAGGTAACGCAACGTCGATTAACATACATCTTAAGTTTTTTATTATAACTTTTCATGTTTAAAACTACCTTCTTATTTATAAAAATGCTTTTTTTATGATTAAATTCAAAATCCAGCTTCCAATGAATTGAAAGGTATAAAACTTCAATGAATTGAAAGGTCTAAAAAATAGCTTTATACATTTCTATATATTTCTATATATATTTCTATATATATTTCTATATATATATATATATATATATATATATATATATATATATATATATATATATATATATATATATATATATATATATATATATATATATATATATATATATATATATATATATATATATATATATATACATATATATATATATATATATATATATATATATATATATATATATATATATATATATATATTTATATGTATATATATTATATTTTTATATATATATATATTTTTATATATATATATATTTTTATATATATATATTATAGAAGTATATATATATATAAATATACTAGAAGAAATATATATATATTTTTATATATATATATTATAGAAGTATATATATATATATATATATATATATATATATATATATATATATATATATATATATATATATATATATATATATATATATATATATATAAATTATATATACATAAGCATACATGCATACACAGATAATATTTTTCATATAAAACTACAATTATTTTATATCAGATTGATCACGTTTAAACTGTCCGGGAGCATTCTTTAATTTATTTGCAATAGCCAAAGCAATACTTTTTGTTGTTGCATGTTTGAATCGCTCTGTTACTACCTCTAAAGCATAAATAATTTTTTATTTAAATTTCTTTATTTAAATTTTTTAATTTATTATTTATTTAAATTATTATACAAGATATGCTACTTATTTAAAAAATATTATAGAAAATGCTGTTAACACAAAAAAGGATTAGAGTAGCAAACTGTTATTATGGACAACTTTTTAATATAGGAACCCCTCTTAAAAAGAAAACAACAAATTGTTATTGTAGTATCATTTTGATTTTAAAAAGTAGAATAACTGAATAATTCAACATTGAATAATTGAATAATTCAACATTGAATAAAAAATTTGAAAGTTTATTAATTCTAAATATAGCATCAAAATAAAATAAAAATAAGAAAATAGCTTTAATTTGTTTTATATTTTTAAATGTTACGCATTGTTTGCATTTTTGTCATAGTTCTTAATTACTGAAACGTATTTTCTTGTTTCTTTGTTATTCAGTCTAACGCGGACACGTTTGTAAAACTCAAATATAAACAATTACCCACATTTGGGTCTCACAAATCAAATCCCAACAGGTCAAAAACGATAATTTTATAAAAAAAGAGTGAATGAGTTTATAAAAACACATTTATATAATTTTAAATTTTTTTCATCATTTCGTAACTTTTAAGTACTAACATAATAAGTTTTTTTTGCGATAAAATTAAGGACTCATCAAGTATTCAGTGGTCTGGAACAACCCCTAATAAAAGGTTGTTAAAGATAATTTTTTTTGTGATAAAATTAAGGACTCATATATTCAGTGGTCTTGAACAAACCCTAATAAAAGGTTGTTAAAGATAATTTTTGAAATCTAGTATTATTTAGTTATACAGGACACATTTAAGGGTTATAACCAAATTGTTTTCCAAAAATTGTTTTTAGAACCAATCTATGTGTTTGCTGTCATTCAAACAGAAATAAGCAAATATATTATCTATTGCAAGAGTAACTTTGTCCGTATTTCAAAAGTACTCAAACATTCTGCTTAATGAGGTATAAATTTTAATAAGGTAAAAATATTAATAAGGTACAAATACTAATAAGGTACAAATTTTAATAAGGCACAAATATTAATAAGGTACAAATATTAATAAGGTACAAATATTAATAAGGTACTAATGTTAATAAGGTACAAATATTAATAAGGTACAAATAATAATAATACAAATAATAATAAATACAAATATTGATAAGGTACAAATATTAATAAGGTACAAATATTAATAAGGTACAAATATTAATAAGGTACAAATATTAATAAGGTACAAATCTTTAAACGGTACAATCTTAATAAGGCACAAAAAAGAAGGTCTCAAGCTACTTAGTTAATTTTGAGTCATGGTGAGCATGCTTATATAAATTCCTGATTTATAAGAGCAATCTCCTGGCGATGTGAGGACATAATTTTCACAAATGCATTGTCACTGACAATGTTTTGACATTATTTCATAGTGCTTTCACTGAACACTTGAAAACACTGGGTACTACTCTCGTCAGAACATATGACTGATGAGGGGACTGTTGGGTCCTCATTTCTTTCAAAGTTTAAGATATTATTTCTATCAACTGTTCAACCTATAAATCAAAAACAAAAAATTGCGCCATGATGATTTCAGCATCTCCATATAAAAATTAACTCAAAGAAAATAATCCAAACAAAAATCATGAATCACACATGACTACCACATGCAACCAAACTTAAAAAATGTTTTATGAAAAAGTCGATTTGATAACATTTACTACAGTGATAAAATTTAGGGAACTTTAATTTTCATGCTTCAATCAAGACAATGTTTTAGAATAAATGATTCTACAAAAACTTGAAAAATATTTTACACATTTGTATTAAAAATTTTCCATTTTTAATCCATGTTTTAAAGCTATCTTTACTTAGCTATCTTTACTAGAACTTTATCTAAACTAGAACACTAAAACCGTTGCTAAACTATAAACGTAATTATTATAAACATATTAAAAATTATATTATAAATTAAGGTTTGAGATCAGGGTTCATAAGCACATAGCACTTTGATTTCCCTTTCTAAAACAGATTTATATATAAAAAAAATTATCTTATTAAATCTAACCCATAATCATCTCAAAGAATTCCAAACTTTTGAAAGCAATCTTCTTTTTGCCATGACGACAAGATCCTTTCATATTTAACATTGTCATAACAGAAACACTAAATAATCTAAAATACATTTATATTACTTCATTCCAATCTTAGTAGATTAATATATCAACCTGCTATTAATGGACCCTTTATATATTATTATAACAACATATTTTTAAAATTTTTGAAAAATCAAAACAAAAAAAAAAACAAAAAAAAAAAAAAAGAAATTTAATTAACATTTAAAATATACTTTTAAAAAAAAAAAAAAATTATGCTAAATTAACTATTTAAGTAATTCATCTTTTATTCAGTGATGAATGTAGTATACAACTATTAAAAAAACAATTAAAAACTGAACTTATGTAAAAACTCATATACCTGTCCAAAATATTGCGTACCATTTCTCCGTAATCATCGCCTCCTACACTCCTTAACTTTTCTATCTATAAACATATATTTCAATATATAAAATAGTTACAAAATAGTTACAAAAGTAAGTAATAAATTATTTTAATTTTTGGTAAAAACAGTTATTATTTATTCTAATTAGAATGCAATCTAAGTTACAAATTAATATGTCAACTTACAGCATTTCTTCGTACAATAGGATCCTTTAATTCATTATTTACTGTCTCAAGACTCGGAATGTCATTAATTTTACAAATCTTGATTGAACTGGGGGGGCTAGATGTGTTTATTATTTTCCTTAATTCATCTCTAATTTCCGTCAATAAAGATAATGTTTTTTTCTGAAAATCTAACAGATAAGTGAGTATTTTAAGATATAAACAAAAGTGGAACTTACAAAAAACTACTATAAAAATTTTTGAACTTACTAGCTTCTGACATTGGAAAGCCATCTTTATTGGTGTTATTTGGACAAACAGTATTATTAATTTCTAAAAACAATTACAATATCTTAAAACAAATTTCATAAAAGTTTTTTAAACAAAATGTATTACCCTCGCTAATACCAATAGAAAATCTGCTAACAACAAGCTAGCAGTATTATATAAAAATAATCATTAGACTACTAAAGATTGCTAGCTTAATGCAACTAGCAACAAGCAGGCAACAACTTGTATAAATAAAGCTAGTACAATTATATAGATATCATGTTGTTTCTGAAGTTAGCTTTTCTCAGTTTTTACTTGTTCTATTTTAGGTGGTTCAGACCCATAATAAAAAATTAATTTGATTGATTCACCCTATGGTTGATCTTTATATTATTACCTTATTTTGATTTCTTCTGTTATTTTCTTTATAATGGTTCTTTGGCTGATGTATTTTCAATCTGTTGAAAACTGCGCCTTCATCATAATCTCGTAGATTCCATTTCTACTTACATACTAGAGTATCAGGCTAACTTTTTGTCCTGACAACAATCTAGTCACAGTCTTACAAAATTTTGCATGACTTATCATTTGGCAAAGTTTTTTTACTGTAACTTTTAAACTGAATACTGCTGAATGTAAGTATTATTGTTCATTCATGCTCAAAAAACTTACATTTTTTAAAGATTCAAACTTTCATGCTTTCTAGCAAAATCCAATTGAATAAAGTTGCCTATTAATAAGGTTGCCTAAAACTTGGCTGAAAGTAAACTTGTATAAGAAAAAAGTTTAAAGGTTGAACTTAAAACCTAGTCCCTAAACCATGACCTTATTTTTTTGAACAAAAAAAAAAAACTGTTAAAAAATACATTATTTCTAAAAGCAATAAAAAAAGACATTATTTCAAAACATGACCTATATTTTTATGGTCTTGTTTCTTAATTTTGATTTTGGTTTACTGTTTATTCTATTCATTTGTGGTCATTTTAAAATTTTTGCAACCAGTGCAATATTCATTAATGAGCAATTTAGCATTTCTTAACATCACTACATATGTGTATATCAGCCTCAACAATTTGATTCTTAAATCTTAATAACAATTTTTAAATTTAAATCATATTTATTAAAAGATAAATAAGTATAACTGTTTCGGAAAAACGCATAAGACTTGTGCTTTTTTATTTTTTATTCCGATTCACTCCCAACAAGGCTGAAAGTTACCATTATCAAGTTGGGTGTTATTAGAAAAAAATAATAGAGTTATAGAACAAGAAAGAGGTTGAGAGAAGACTTAAAAAGTTGAATATATTATGAAGATGAGAGAGAGTTATAAAGGGTCGATTTATATTTAAAATATTATCAACATTTTAATATTAAATTCAACACTAGGCAAAAAAAAAAAAAAAACACTTTTCATGATTTTATTATTACAATATAAGCCAGTTCAATAAACAAATAAACAAATAGATATAAATCATAATCACCTTCAACAACAATTGTAAAATCTTTTACTTCATTTTCTAAAAAAAACAATATCCATTTAAGTTGTATTTATAATTTAAATTGGTTTGACTGTATAAAAATTACCCATACTGCTATACAACTTTATTTAAAACTTTCTACACGTAGAAAACTTTTATTTCTTATCAAATCCAACTTTCCATACAAAGCTTTTTTGCTAAATGTAGTTATATAAAAAATCGCAACCATAGTCGAAAAAGACAAAAGCTCTCCCATAAAACTATTTCTAATACAATGTATTATAAATATCCAATAGTTAATAAAATCCCACTAACAATTGAGTGTAAACAAACAATGTTTCTTTACACTAGTTATGTACAATAGTTAAATACTAATTATATAATTAACAGTATAATAATTACACAATAAACAAAAAAATATTACTAGACTTTTTTTTCGGTGTAAGTCCTTCTATGTGGTCAATGGTATTTAAACCTCTTTTAGTTTTTATTTGTTCTCCAGTGATATCAGGATCTATAATATGACATTTTCAATACAAGTATTGATAAAAAAAAAATACAAGTAAATGTATCAATAAGAAGCAAAACATAATTAAGTAGAGTAAATGTAAAAGAAACATACTAGACATATTATTAACTGTGGAAATTAGCACATCTAATAAGGTTCTATTTGAAAACGAACTTTCTGTGTTTGTTGCAAATGCTGTTTTTAAATAAAATTAATACTGTATACAAAAGCTAATAATAATAAGAATTAGAGATTAAAAAATACATAGTAAAAAATAATTTATTAAATTTATTGAATTTGTTAAACAAGTAAAATAAACTTGTGTCTAAGTGTTGTCATGAAAAAAAAGTATATGATCAACAACTTTAATTCTATCAAAAAGAACACACCACAGTATTTTTATTATATATTAAATTTTCGTTATATTTTTAATACTTTTTTATAACATTTGATGATGGTTAATTTGCATGAGTTATGTTTAAATTAAATAGAGTTTTTTAATTTTTACTACACACACACACACACACACACACACACACACACACACACACACACACACACACACACACACACACAGATATATCAACCCTCAGAATTAGGGTCGGCATTGCTAAATGCTGACCTGAAAGTGTTTGAAGAAGCAAAAAATTGCTGACCTAATTTTTCCTAATTCCAAGGGTTAATATATATATATATATATATATATATATATATATATATATATATATATATATATATATATATATATATATATATATATATATATATATATACATATATATATATATATATATATATATATATATATATATATATATATATATATATATATATATATATATACATATATATATATATATATATATATATATATATATATATATATATATATATATATATATATATATATATATATATATATATATATATATATATATATAGATATATATATATATATATATATATATATATATATATATATATATATATATATATATATTATATATATATATATATATATATATATATATATATATATATATATATATATATATATATATATATATATATATATATATATATAGATATAGATATATATATATATATATATATATATATATATATATATATATATATATATATATTTATATATATACAACATCTATGTAGAAATATAGATATATGTATAAATAGAAAATGAAAATGAAAATTACCTGAAAAATAAGATTACTATAGATTATGTTTGCATAAGAAAAAATCAAAAACCATATCTAATTCATTTATAATTTACTCTCGTTTATGTAACCACTTTTAGTAGCAATAACCGTTTTACATATTCTTGGCATTCTACCTCGCAATTTAGTTTTTTCACATTTTATTTTAGTTCATCTTATAAGAGTTACATAGGAGAGCAATGTGATGATTGGGGAGGAACCATTTTATTTACTACTTAATCATTTTCTAACTCACTCAAATAATTTCTACAAATTTTTGAAGAATGCTTTGGATCATTACCTTCTTGAAAAAAAAGCATAGTGTGGGCCTTTTTAAAATGTCTCAAAACACTTCTTTTGTCATATTCTCTATATTTCAAGAATGATAGCTGTGATATTCCCACCAAAAGAGCCAAAACAGTAGCCCATCATATTTCACTGTCAGCAATGCACATTATTCTATCATAGATTCGCCAGCTTTTCTTTGGACAAACAATCTTCTTATAGAACCAAAGATTTTCAACTTCAATTCATCAGTCAAAAAACACATTTTGTAGTCATGGATGGTCTATTTTTTTGTTTAGTTTTGCAGACTCCAGTCTTTTTTAATATTTTTTTGGGTGAGAAAATGGTTTGCAAGCAGCTCTTCTGTCACCAAGCTCTGTTTCCATGATTTTACTCTTATTAGTTGTCACAGATACTGGAGCTATACAAGAACAATTCAAAGTATGAGTTGATTCCGAAGCAACTAATAATCTATTTGTCTTTTTAATGGTTGTAAATCTTCTTAGTTGTAAGTCTTCAGATATAATTCAACAAAGTCCTGATTGCTTTCAATTGAACACACTTTCAATTTCATTCTTATTTTCAATAATATTCCAAATAGTTCAATTTAAATTCTTGAATTTTTTTGCAACTTGACGCAAAAAAATTTCATGCCAAATGAGAATATCGCAGATTGCTTTTCTACATTCTTATTTTCTGGCCATTTATCAATTAACTAAACTTTTTATAACAACAATTTATACAAATTATTAAACTATTATTGAGAAACCAACAAAAATTCATTCCAGCAAAACAATAGCATAACTTAGCAACAATATATAACAATAGCATAACTTAGCAACAATATATAACAATAGCATAACTGAATCTCTTGAAATAAAATATACAGGAATAGTTAAATGTTTTTGCTGTTTTAATTATATAATCTCTAAATAAAGATCAAACTTGATAAATGAATGATTTTTGAATGATTAACATAAACATTGGCATAATTAATGAGAGAATAACAAAATAGTACACTTATGTAATATATATATACATATATATCTTATGCTGCTGAGTTAGGTGAGCATGATGATGTCATATTCACCTAATGTCAAATAGCCTGCTGCCGAGGGCTTCAGTACATACATCGACTGACAAATAGCCTGACTCGCCGTGGAGTGCTGCTACATCGACTGAGGGTCAGCAACCTTTTCATTCATTATTCTTCGTTTTCCCTCATCGTTTTCTAAAAACGCTCACTTAAATTAGGCTAGCAAAAAAAGTGAGCAATTGCGCATATAAATATGCTATAGTAGATATATATATATATATATATATATATATATATATATATAATATATGTACATATATATATATATACATATATATACATATATATTATGTATATATATGTATATATATACATATATATTATGTATATATATGTATATATATATATATATTTTGTATATATATGTATATATAACAAAATTATTTAATTAGAGCCTTTTTTTTTTAAAAAGACTCTAATTAAATAATTTTGTTATATATACATATATATATACATATATATACATAATATATATGTATATATATGTATATATATATATATAAATATATATATATATATATGTATATATATATATATATATATATATATATATATATATATATATATATATATATATATATATATATATATATATATATATATATATATATGTATATATATATATACATATGTATATATATATATATGTATATATACATATATCTATGTATGTATATATATATATATATATATATATATATATATATATATATATATATAAGTAAACAAAAATAATATTTATGACACTGTAATTTTTAGAAATTGCAAAGAAACTTGATATTGTTTGCACAATTTTAACACTATCTTCAAAAAGACACTATAATTTGAAGGCTGTTTTGACATGGTTTAATTTTAAGTTAATAAGCAGTTTATACCATTCCAAAAAACTTTATATAGGATTGAAACTGTCCTAAAAATGTCTAACTTCCTGTTGAAAATCTTGTATTAACAGCATCTATTTGGTTGCTATAGCATCTATTATATTATTTTGATTGATTTAGTGCAACAACAACAACAACAACAAAAATCTAGCAAACAGCTTAGAGGCACATTAGAGTAAAATAATGTAAAAAAAAATTTAAAGTTTTCTTATAGTTGTGTAAATTGGTAGGTCATCTAATCATATTAGAACCTCTAGTAGGCCAAGTATCACAAGTAGGCTAAGGACCAACAACAATTTATCTGATATTTGGAGAAAATCAGTTTGATTAACAATATTTTATTGCACACATTTTATTGAATTGTTGCTCTGCTTATATTTTCTTTTATTTTTTTTAATTCTGATTCACTCCCAACAAGGCTACATGCAACCACTATTAAGTTGGAAGTTACTAGAAAAAAAGAATAGAGTTATAGAGCAAGGAAACGGTTGACAGAAGAATTAAAAAGTTGAAGGTTGTATGAGTCAGGAAAACATGAAGATGGGAGAGAGTTTCAAAGGGTTTAAGTTCAGGGAAAAAACTAGACGAATAAAAGTTTTTGGACCATGTAGGGATATATATACTAAAAAAACAAGACTTTGATGAATGACAAGTTAAGCGAGAATGAGTTTTAGTTGATGGAACTAGAGCTGATAGCTTCTTTGAGCAGCAACCATGATAGTATTTGTAGAAAAAAAAAGTGATGCAGTCTTACGACGATGGGAAAGAGGCTCAAGTTTAGCAGAGAGACAGAGTCCAACTACATTTACAATGCGTTTTTGGACGTTGTTTAGAAGAGAAAGAGCATCATTAGAAGAACCAGTCCAAATATGACAACAGTATTCCATACAGGGACGAATAAGAGATTCATAGAGGTAGAGAATGGAATTAGGAGAGAGAAAATGGCAAGCACAATAAAGAGAAGTAAACTAAGTAGATACTAATTTAGCAATTGATTGTATATATGGTTTCAAGGAAAAGTCAGTTGTAAATAATAATTCAAAAAGGTGTAAAGAAGAGGACTCAGTGAGAGGGTTGCCTTTCATTAATAGAGGAATGTTGACAGTATTGTGATAGTTGTTTGCAGTAATTAACTGAGTTTTGTTGGAGTTAAAATTTACAAGCCACTGTGAGCCCCAATTTGTTAAAGAAGTGAGATCAGATTCAAGATTGGCTGCTTATTCTAAGTGATCAAAAAGAGAAGACTTTTTGTACAGACAGGAGTTTAAAGTTGATTCATCGCAAAAAAGGCTAATTCAGATGCAAGGTTGTTGGGAAGATCATTAATGTAGATAAGAAACAAAATAGGACCAAGGATAGAACTTTAATGTATCCCAGAAATTACTTGAAATAAAGAAGAGTGTTGGCCTTCATGGGTCATATTAATAAAGCAGTTAGAAAGAAACAATTTGATAATCTCAAAAACTTTCCTAGATACAACATATGAAACAAGCCTATGAAGAAGACCATCATACCAAATTTTGTTGAAATTCTTAGACATGTCAAGAGCAATTACCCTAGCTCCACCTCCATTTAATGCACGATAAAATTTTTCAGTCACAGCAGTTAGCAAGTCAGCTGAAGAGTGAGAGGATCAAAAACAGTATTGATTGTCTGACAGCAAGTTATTTGACTCAAGATGGGATGTGAGGAATTTGTTTATCAAAGACTCAAAGGCCT